GAATACGAGTAGCCCACATATGGTAATAATTTAAAAGGTATGATCTGAGAGACATTTAACTGGTTGTTTTCTATGCTTGCGTTCACTTGAAAAGGCCGTGGTTTTCCTAAAATATTATTGATTCCAAAATGTAATCTTCCTTGCTGTCTTGCCCGGAATTTGGTATGGTACACGGCGCCAACGTTCAGGCCGTAATTGGCCGGAAGTCTATAATTATTTGGTTCGGTAGCATACAAATAAGTTGGGGCATCTTTTGCTCTTCCGGAAAGTACATGGTCGAGGTCAGGTAAGGCATATCCGGGCAGGGTAATCAGCATTCCGCTGCTATAGGTAAATAGCGTTGAGCAGCTCCATCTGGAACTTAAATTTACCGTAATTGCGGTGTTGAACTGGTTCCGGATGTCGTGTGGCGCTTTAAATGCTTTTCCATTGTTGACCTGATCAAAAATAAACATCGTTTTAAAGAAAGTATAGGAGGCCTGAACAGAAAGCCATTTAAAGTCCTGGGCGTATTCGACCTCGAAACCCTGACTATAACCTTTTCCACTGATCAGCCGGTCTCTCCAATTACCGGCAAGTTGCCCTTCTAATGCATTTTGTTGCGGCCTGTACATCAGGAGGTCTGAAAAATCCTTTCTGTAAAACTGAATACCAATTCTCCCTGAGGAGGGAAGATGGTTCAGGTAGCCGATTTCATAGATCGCCGATTGCTGAGGTGGCAACTCGGCAGTACTTGGTGCCCTGAATTCATTCGGTAAGGAGAGCGAATTGATCGTAATCTGGTGATAGAACTGTGCCATGATCGCGTATGATGCATAAAATTGATGCTGATCATTAACGGTATAGCTGAGTTTTGTACGGGGCTGAAAAGAATGGTAGGTTTTTCCGCTGGTGATGAAAGCAGTATAATGCAAGCCGGCCCTTAGTTTAAGTTGAGGCAAAATATCAACGTCATTGTCTGTATAGGCCTGTAGATGTACAGCGCGTTGGTCCTCTATATCGGACTGGAGTTCAGTGTCTGGTGCCGACTGAAACCGGGTCAGTTTTGCCTTGATTCCGAAATAGCTTTTTACGGTATTGTTCCAGCTATAACTCAGGTCGTTGTCTATGCCGATGTCAGTGATCTTGTTGTACTGATGATCTCCATTCTGTTCCTGATCTTCCAGCTGATTTTTAAATTCGCTATAGGAAATTGTGCTGTTGTGAAACAACCTGGGGCTATGTACTTTATTCCACCTGAAGGAAAGCAATTGATTGCTCCAGTTTAAGCCGATCGCTGATGTTTTATCATCAGAGAGATTCAGCCTGAACCGGTCGCTGCCCTTGTATGCACTCAGATAAATGCGGCTGGTGGAGTCAATCCGATAATTGATTTTGAGGTTCGCATCGTACAGGTAATATTTTAGCCCATTGTCTCCATTGGTCAAAAGATGGGTAAGGCCGTCGATCCAGCTTCTCCTGAAACTGGCTAAGAAAGAGATCTTATTTTTAATCAAAGGTCCTTCAATCATGGCAGAGCTGGTCAATAAACCGATATTCACGGCACCATGGTATTTTTGCATATCTCCGTCTTTGGTCTTCACATCGATTACCGATGATAAACGGCCTTCGTAACGGGAAGGAAAGGCTCCCTTATAAAAGTCAATGTGTTTTACGGCGTCGTTATTGAAGATAGACAGGAGCCCGGTGAAATGGTTGTAATTATAAACAGGTATGCCGTCCAGGAGTACAAGATTTTGATCCGGACTTCCGCCACGTACGTACATATTTCCTCCTGCTAACCCGCCGGAGACACCAGCTTTTAACTGTATGGCTTTCAGTGGGTCGGTTTCTCCTAATGCCATTGGCAAGTTGCTGACGTTCTTTAGGTTAATCGTTTGCAGATCTGTTGCTCCTGCACTAAGTTTGGGGGCACTAATTTTCACTTCGGCCAGGAATAATCCGGGTTGAAGGCTGAAGTTGAGAACTTTTGAATCGATGATCTTAATGGTATCCCTGAGGGTGCGATATCCTGAATAACTCAGTTGCAGGTAATTGATGCCTGTTGGCAGTTCGATCGTATAAAAGCCATATTCATTGCTTTGCGTTCCAAGATTTGTTCCGGAAATCTTTATTGATGCGTAGGGCAATGCTTCCATGCTATCGCCTGAATAAATAAAACCACTAAGGGTATGGGAGCTTGCGGCTTGTGGCTGTGGAACATAGAGGATGATCTTATCGCGTTCTATTTTGATCTCCACAGGATAACCAGATAGCAACTGGCGCAGTAGTTGATCTGCCTTGTAAACGCCCTTGTTTAATTTGATTTTGTCGGCCAGTGGGAGTTGGTTACTGCTGTAGGATAGATTTACACCCTGGGCGACAATCGCATTCAGGTATTGCCCGAGTGTGCCTTCACTTATCGTTATCCTGATTTCCTGATCAGCCAGGCCTTTCTTTTCCTGGGCATATATTTTTTTATGTCCCGAAATGAGAAAAAGAGAAAGGAATAAACAGGACAAATATTTAAGCATTTTAGCGGCATGTTATTGCTGAAATACTAACTGTATTGTCCTTTATCTTGTGGTTAAATCCGAAAAGTAGTTCCAGTTCTTTTAGCACATCTTCCAATGTTTCATTTTTAAATTTGGTGGTTACTTTACAGTTCAGTGGATTCGTGCCATCTGTGGTAATCCTGACATGGTAGTAGTTTTCAAGTGTGCGGAAGACTTCTCCTAACGGAATATCAGTAAAGGAAAGCTCCTTTGTTTTCCAGGCGAGGTAGTTTTCATCACGGAGGGTTTCTTTTTGCAGGGTCCCGGATACCAGCCGCGCTCCCTCGCCTCCAAGTAATGTGAGCTGATCCTTGCTCCCTATATTTTTTACAGCGACTTTACCACTTTTGACATTAACGATTATGGTGTTTTCAATACTTTTCACCAAAAACGAAGTGCCGAGTACGTTTACAAGGAACTGTTTCGTCTGGACTTTAAAAGGTCTTTCTACCTCATGTTTTACATCAAAAAATGCTTCCCCTTCGAGTTCAATATTCCTTTTTGATAAGAAATAACGGGGATAGCTGAGGCGTGAATTTTCATTTAAGGTTACCCTGGTTTCATCACTTAAGGTGATGTTTTTAATTTCAGCCAGTTGGGTGCTTACGATAACCGAAGATGTTGCGTAAAAGAGAAGGGCAATGGATATGATGGCAATTATCGAAGCTGCAGCGAGCCAATAACCGGTCTTTTTGCGTTTAACTAAAGGCGGAGCCGATTGCTCCCCGAAGCCGATCTGACCGGCTACTTTTCCCCAGCTTTTATCCGCAGAGAATAGTTGTGGATGCTGTGCAACATGGCTATCGGCCCAAAGGATTTTCAGGGAGAGGTATTCCTCGGGATTGGATTTGATCCATTCCAGAACAATCAGCTCTTCTGCAGTGCCTGTTTCCTTCGCGAAATGTTTTGCCAACAAGCTGTTGATTTCTTCTGTTTCCATATTGCTACTCATTAGTTAAACCCCGATCGACTAAAAACCCCTATGAAATTAATGAACAATTTGATCAATACTGCTACAACAAGTGAAAGGAGAGGATTCTGACTAATGAAATTACGCATGTGCTTTATCGCTTTTCCCATTTGATTTTCTACTGTCTTAATAGAAATGTTCAATTGGGTTGCAATCTGCTGATAGGTTAAATTTCCCATGCGGCTTAGTTTGAAAACTTCCGCGCATTTGGGTGATAAGTGCTCAAAAGCACGTTCAACAAGATGATCTACGTCTAGTTCAGGCTTTTCTGTATAAACGGTATCCGCAATCTCAATTTCATTCTCTTCGGTCGACAGCATGTAGACCTTTTTGCGCAACACATTGATACATCTGTTGCGGACTGCTGTTAACAGGTAGTATTTCGCTGCAGGATCATGAACCATTTCTTTTTTGAGCTCCCAAAACCTGATCATTACGTCCTGGACGATATCTTCACTCTCATCCCGGTCGCCAAGGTATTTAAATGCATGATTACACAATTGCTGGTAATCCCTGTAATATAACTCCTTAAATCCTGTATGGTCTCTCTGCATTCCTTCCTGGTAAGAATGGTCCAAACTTACAAACTAAAAAAATATTTTAAGGCATAGGGGTATTTATTCTTTCTACGTATTAGAATTGAAACCTGGGTAATACAGGTGTCTATTGAAAAAAACAAAGATTCTAATGAAACATCAAATTTTAAAAACAATGAAAAAATCAATTGTCGTTTTGAGCTTAATGATCTCAGCATTTGCCGCAACTGCGCAGGAAACAGAAAAACATGAAATACGTGCAGGAATTAGTGATGCAGCAGGTATAACTATTGGAGAGGGACTTGTAAATGCGTTTTCGAATGCAATCGTTAGCGGATTGACTGGTGTTAAGATTAAAGACACCAAAAGTAAGTCGCTCGGCATGTTTGAGCTTGGATACCGATACCGCCTTTCTGATCGTGTAAAAGTTGGTGCAGACCTCAGCTACCTGCAAATGGATAGAAATTATCAGACAACGATTGCTGAAACAACGACAAAATATACCAGAAGGGGAGAATACCTGCTGGTCTTACCCACAGCAGAATTTGCCTATATAAAAACACCTTTGCTTACTTTTTATGGTACTGCTGCTGCGGGTATATTAGTTGCCAGAGATAAAGAGCTGTCTCCCGGCAAACGCTATGGCGACAATTCCATGTCATTTGCCTTCCAGGTAAATCCGATCGGATTAAGGGTAGGGAAAAAAATTGGCGCATTTGCAGAGTTGGGTTATGGTTATAAAGGCATTGCAACAGCGGGGATCAGTTTCAGATTTTAACGATATAATCTGCTCAGAATTTGCATCCGGGATATCTTCCGGGTGCTTTTCTTTTTATGGCTTCCTTTACTCTAGGGCCAGGCATCTGATTTTTAATTTTCGCTATTCCTATTGGCAGGAATATTTTGTGATGCCAGCTTCGGGGATCCTCTCAGGTATTCTGATACGCCCTTTTTATCGTTTTAAAGACTGGCGCTGATGGATTCCGTAACTTGTTCCAGTATTTCGAAAGCAGTTTCAGCCATTTTGTTTCCTTTGTTGTCCAGCAATGGGTTCACCTCCACAATTTCAAGACACAAGACCTTTCCTGAAGAAACGATGGCCTGAATAATGGCAATGACCTCCTGCGGATCAAATCCTTTGGAAACCGGGGTTCCCGTACCTAGCGAAATCAGATCACAGTCCATACTGTCGACATCAAAGGAAATGTAAATCATCTCACAGTCGCCCAGCTTTTCTAATGCTTCTTTTACACAGGTTTTCAGACCTCTGAAACGTACTTCTTCTACTTTATAATTTTTGATCCCTAAACTTTGAATGAGTTGGTCTTCCTGTTCTTCCGTATCCCGGACACCAAAATAGATCAGGTGTTCGGGTTTCAGTTTAGGTTGAGCAGTGCCGATGGTTTTCAAATTATCCCAGAACCCTACCGTGTCTCCCGCAATTTGGTTCTGCTGACAATCCAGATTGTCGTTGGCCAGAGCTGCAGCTAAAGGCATACCATGTATATTTCCGGAGGGAGAGGTATAGGGCGAATGCAGGTCGGCATGAGCATCTATCCAAATCACGCCTAGCATTTTATCCGGGTATGCCGTTTTTATGCCACTAATTGTGCCCAGCGCCGAGGAATGGTCTCCTGAAAATACGAGTGGAAAGTGGTTTGCTGACAAACTATATTCCACCGCGTTGGCCAACCGCGTACATTGCTGCAGCACATGTTCGATTCTTATGGCAAAAGTATTTCTGTCTTTATTATAGATCGTTTCGTTATGCGTCTCGACATCCAGCGTACGGAAATTGTTAAAGTACTCGCTGCCCTTGTTAATTGCAGCAATTTCTATGGCATCTATTCCCATATCAGATCCCCGGGTTCCGGCACCGATATCAGATCTGTTTTTTACCAGATTTATCGTTCTTTTCATAAAGTATTAAGCAACGCTTAACAATGACCGCTCGATAATGTCCAGACTTTCGATAATTTGTGCTTCAGTAATCACCAATGGGGGAGCGAAGCGGATCTTATTTCCGTGAGTAGGCTTAGCAAGTAGACCATTCTCTTTAAATTTCATGCAGATGTCCCAGGCCATATCAGATTCTTCTGAGCAGTTGATCACAATTGCATTCAGTAATCCTTTACCTCTGACCGACTGGATCAGGTCCGTTTTTGTGGCAATTTTTTCTAGTCCTGCCCTGAATATTTCCCCGAGTTTCTGTGCATTTTCGGCCAGATTCTCATCAATAACGACTTGTATCGCTTCTCTCGCCACGGCACAAGCCAAAGGATTTCCTCCATAGGTTGAACCATGTTCTCCCGGTTTAATGGTCAGCATAATCTCGTCATTGGCAAGTACTGCTGAAACAGGCAATACGCCACCTGAAATTGCCTTTCCTAAGATCAAAATATCTGGCTGATTGCTTTTCTCTTCTGAATCGACTTCGTAAGAAGCCAGCATGCTACCTGTACGGGCAATTCCTGTTTGAATTTCATCCGCAATGAATAACACATTGTAAGCCTGACAAAGCGCTTTAATCCGCGCCAGGTAATCCGTGTCTGGTACGACTACACCAGCTTCACCCTGAATGGGTTCCACGATGAAGCCTGCTATATTTTTATCTGTTTTTAAAAGTGCTTCAAAAGCATCCGCATCGTTATAAGGAACATGGGTGATTCCACCTACAAATGGACCAAAGTCTTTCCTTGCACTTTCATCATTGGATGCAGAGATTACAGAAATGGTTCTGCCGTGGAAATTTCCTTCGGCAAAGACGATTTTAGCCTGATCCGGGCTGATGCCTTTGATTTGATAGGCCCATTTTCTACAAAGTTTCATGGCTGTTTCAACTGCCTCCACACCTGAATTCATAATCAGAGATTTATCATAACCAAAGAGGTTACAGACAAATTCTTCAAAATCACCAAGTTTGTCATTATAAAATGCCCTGGAGCTCAGGGTGAGTTCTTCTGCCTGATCTTTTAGTGCTTTAATAATCCTCGGATGACCGTGTCCCTGGTTCACCGCTGAATAGGCAGAAAGAAAGTCATAATACCTCATTTCTTCAACATCCCAAACGAAGACGCCTTTTCCTTTTTTCAGTACGACAGGTAGCGGGTGATAATTATGTGCACCATATCGTTCTTCTTTTTCTATTAGCTCCTCGCTTTTACTTAAATTTGTTGAAATATTCATAATTGACTGTTTATTAGGGCAAAGATAATAAAATTTATTATTTTGTGTTCTATATAGAGTTAATTTGACTTTATTGTGGGTTTTAAAAGTGTATTTAACACTGATGAACCGGTTTAGCAGAATAAATAATTAAATACAGGTATGGACCACATTGATGAATTTGACATTCAAATATTAAAACAACTGGAAATAGATGGACGAATGGCCTATTCGGCGATTGCTGCTACATTGGGTATTTCCAATACGATGGTTCATCAGCGGATATCCAGGCTAACCGAGCAAGGGATATTAACAGGCATCAAACCGGTGTTGGATGAAAAAAAGATTGGTTACGACTGGGGGGCTTTTACCGGGATCACCCTCGAAAAAGACCATGACTCCAACCGGATCATTGAAGAGCTAAAG